GATATGAATTACCATTGTTATAACTACTAATCTTGTTTTATTACTTGGAATGTAAGGATTTAGTACAAAAAAATCATCTTATTTATTGGAAATGATACTATTTTTTTGTTTTTCAAACAAACCAACGTTTCGGGCCCTTTACAGGTCCCGTAGTCACGATTGACTCAACCGTAATTTCATTTCCTTTGTGTAACAATCGCGAAAACCTAACAAGTCTTATTTATTTGAAATAACCGGAAGATTTACAAACCTTTTAGCTTTATAAATAGCATATTAATTAATTTTTACAAAAAAATGTAATTGTTAGTGAACGAAAATTAGAGTGACATATACAAAGAACTTTAAATAACTTGTAGCTTTGTACCTTAGATTACTCTTAGATGCTAGAAGTTATTTATTCACTCTCAGTTTGTAACCATATCAGTTATTGAAATAAACGAAAATAAATTGACCAGTCCGTTATTTAATAAGAATAAAAAAATAGTCGACTGGCATTAATTTGTTTTAATGTTCTGCTAATACAGATTTGTCGAGTGATTCGAGGTTGATTGTTCTCTTCGTTTTTGTCAATTTCGCAGACTTAAGTTGATTTAATCAGTGTTGAACCATTAAATTTTTTTAAATTTTCAGCTGTTTCTATTTTGTTACGAAAATAATGCATTTTTTATTTCGATTTTTTATTTTAATAAAGTTTGAGTAACATTGTGCTAAGATGATGTTAATTTAATTGCTACTTTATGTCTAATTCTTACATATTTAAATATAAACGTTAACGTTACTATTTTATATACTCCGTTTTTATGTAACATTAAATGGATCGGTGTACACACTTCACAGATTTGAAACATGCACAAATAGTTGATTGATGCAATCGTTTTCTTATAAGTCTTATTAATCGTCAACATTTGTCCAATATAGGTACGATACTTCACATTGTAAATATATATTACCTCATAAAGACACCAACTCATTACAAAAATAACAATTTCAACGGAATATTGTTATTTATCAAATACGATAAACCTAAAAATAATAAAATTTATTTGTAAAAAGCTTGATTAATAAGACGTAAAATAATATTACTGTCACCAAAATTAACAATTCACAACTGCGTGAGATCACTAACTGGAATAGCGATATTTTAAAAAAACATCGACACTAAAAATTAACACATTTCCAAAAGGTTCACAAAAAATGTTAAAAGCTACGTAATAAATCATAAGGTGGCTCAGAAAACGTCTGTTGGAAAACGTGCCAGTGTTATTAAAGTAATTTAGCACCAACACTCTCTGAATTTTGGTCTGCTCTGTCGACTCTGTTTGTTTTGCAGGCGAGAACTTTGCTTAACCTATCATTACGGTCTCGTTATACTTTTTTACCAACCAGAAGAGGCCAACACTTTCATTTCACGGGCTGTGTTTTAAAGTTTTAAATTGTTTCTTTGAAGTTTAGGACTTTTGTTCTTTAAATGAGTAGAGTTGGTGGCTTTTCATTGTCGCGTTAAAAGTACTGGTTTTACGTGCATGTTTAGAAGTAGGTTTATTTGCGTATGATGACCTAGGTGACCCGACGACGGTTTGCACTGCGGTGGATCAATAAATAAAAAATAATGTTATTGAAAAAGATTCATTACAATTAAGAATGATTACACACGGTGACTTTTAGCAGCGATGCAAACGCGCGTTCATGAAACGAGCGATTGCATTGCTACACTTGCAATTTATAGGCGATTGCATCGCTTCAAACGCGCGACTGCATCGATACAAATGCGCGACTGCATCGATACAAACGCGCGATGGCATTGATACAAACGCGCGGTTGCATTGAAGCAATCCCCTATAAATCCCAAGTGTAGCGATGCAATCGCGCGTTTGTATCGATGCAGTCGCGCGCTTGCATCGCTACTGCATCGCGTTGGCATCGCTCCAAATGTAATATATTTATTTTTTATTTTTTTTATTTACTTATTTTAATAACTAGGTTAGAAATGGGTATTTTTATTTTATTTTTGTTTTCTTTATTCAGGATAACAAATAACAACCATCATAATAAAAGTGATCCTTAACTTATGGACATTGGCAAAATTAGGGTCAATTACAGTTATCCACTAATTCATAGTTGGTTGAATAACAAATAGTGTATACAATATAGCCACATAACCTAGACTAGGCGGAGTCAAATAATAAAAAATGAATAAAATACACTTACTTATGAAGTAATTAAAAATAAATTGTAGATAAATATATGCTTATATTATATACATATACGAGCATACACACATACATATAAATTATATTACACACATATATACTTACATACCATATATTATATATATGGTATGTAAGTATGATAATTAAATAAAATAAAATAACTCTTATATTATAGGTATAGCATGCAAATGTTTTTCAATTGAATGTTATAAACCTCCCTCGAAATAGCAATTTTAGCGCAAACTGTTTAACGCTCAACTTCTTTTGTTATTCACGAAGATTAAGTGGCAGGTAATTAGCTACTTGACTGCACTTTTAACTACCGTGGTACATTGTACTCGTTGCTCAGTTTGTTGTTTAAAAGTAACCAAAAGTTCTCAACGAATGATTTGAACGTTAACTCAAATCACGCCTGAGGCGCGGGCGCAGAGATCGTAAAAACGTGTTATTATTATTAATAATCTTACTCATTCACTCTTCTCCATATTTCATACTAGTTTATGTCCCTGACTTTGTCTGAAATCAGAATCAGCCTTATACTGGCCATAAGTTTATTATGAACTACATGTGGAATGCAAAATAAGTATTTTTTATAATATCAAGTGACGGGACGAAAAAGTCATGCGCCTGATGGTAAGCTACACGCCTGTCCATAACAGTTCTTCCAATTTTAAAGGATAAGGGTAGGTACTGGTGGAATTAAAGACACATGGGACTTGTCGTGTCTCCGGGTGACGGACGCAGTGGTAGTGATCTCTGACCTCTGCCATTTGAAGCTCTGATTGGCACTGCAACTGTCATGGATAGGCGTGTCGCTTACCACCACACACACGACTTGTTCATCCCGTCTTTTAATATCATAAAAAAACGGCATGGAGTATCTACATTTTTCTAACAAATGTGCTTCAAGTGTATAATTACATTTAGTATCTACATTTTAAAGTCCCCAATCCGCATTGGACTATGGCGTTAACCCTCACCTGATTAGAGACCCGTGCCCAGCAGTGGGAAGTATGAATGGGTTAATGACGATGAGTAGGTACAGTAAACTTGTTATAATTAATACAAAGGTCGAACAACGCTAATAAAAATCCTTTCGATCCTTCCTAACGAAGCTACGGAACGAGACAGCAAACTTGACGAATTTCTCGATGTCGACTCATCCGAAGAACACTGATGTGATTATACAAAGAAAATATGATAAATACACAATCTCGTTATTTAAAATAAGGCCTACCAATAGGTGTTTTCATAATTTTTATATTTTATTTCGTTTCGGACATATAAAATCGAACACCGGTCGATCTGATATCCACAGCGAAGAACAACTAACGAAATGTAGAATCTTCTGAGAATAAGCAGTCTTGCACATAAGCCTTTCTTCTACGGATGTCGATGTGCTTGTTGCAAATCTTTGTTTTTTGGTTGTAATGGCTTTTTAATCGTAACGCACCAGTATAAACCCTTCTATTTTCTTCACTCAACATACTGTATTGTTTTAAATACAACCAGTAACCGTACTTCTACTGGAATTGGGACTACGGATAATGAACAAACAAACATTACCACGTGAATACAAGTAGTCAATAGCGTGATTTCGCTATAGGCCATTGGTTCTTAGAATCTCAAAGTAGGACCCACATCGACGAATGTGAATTTTTGCACCTTACCTTTAAGTACATATAATCAGTGTTAAATTATGCTAAACGATACCTCGTTGTTGTAAATTATAACCCTTCTAGATTGCGTAGGTGCTTTGGCATGCAATAAATAGCATTGAATATTTTAAAGCACCGTTCAAGTTTCTCGCATTTTCGCTTTTGTTCCCACAAAATCTTAATTGGCATTGGATTTTTTAGCGCGGTGGTCTATTGTGTATCGCGGATGTTCTATACACTAAAACATAATTTGTTATAAAAATAGATAAAAAGACATAGAATGACGTGTTTTATCTAAATTATTTTGTTAGAACCGAAAGTTCTACAGATTATTTGAATTTACTTCCATAACAGCTTTTTAGTAGCAGTAGACCTCCTAGTGAAAGAGTTTGTCCAGGGAAGTACTGCCACTTTCCATATTCCTGCCGCCAAACAGTACCTAATGCTCACTTTACTACGTCCCGGTTTTGGGAAATTATGGTTTTCACAATAAGATGACGATATTGTGTAAATTTCAATATGTTCTTTACTATGACAAATAAAAGATTTACTCACTTAGTTCAAATCATACTAATAAACAGATTGAAATAGAGACAGACATAGTTGCAGCAGAATACCTAGTAGCAGTAGAGCTCCTTGTGAAAGAATTCGTCCAAGGAAGTAATGCCGACTTACTTATTTCTGCCACCAGGCAGTAATGTGAGCATTAATGCGTTCCGGTTTTGAAGCGAGAGGATGCTGGTGACATTACAGGCTCATGGGACTTATGAGCTTATGTCTCATGTGACGGACGCAGTGGCAGTACCTCTCAGATCTTTGCGATTTAAAGCTCAGAGTGGCATTGCAACTGTTGTGGACAGGCGTGTCGCTTACCACCGTCGCACGACTTGTTCGTCCCGTCTCTCGGTACCATTAAAAGGAATAGGTATATAGTCTCCACTTTGCTCCACGACGTGGTCGTCGAAAAACCACCAAAGAAGTTTTTGTAATAGGATGCTTAACACCAAACCAAAATAAAGATATTTTTCATTTCGAAAGTGCCACTTATTCCGAGATCGTCAGGGCGATTTGTAGAGGCATTAAACGCCTTAATTCTTGAGTACTAAAGTTGGTTTTTTCTCTCCGTTCGTAGGAGCTCATCTATAGCCAAAGCCAACGGATGTTATCAAAGATGCTGTGGCCCAACCCCGCCCCTACCGCCCGAGACCCCTACTCTGATCATTTGGTTAGTAGATCTTTTCATTTTATTTCAGTTTACAAATACTAACTTTTTTAACTTCGAAAATAAGTTTTAAAATGGGTTATCGGTGCTTCCCAAAATGTTTATAAAAACAGAATCTCAAACACAACCTTTATTTTTATTTACAAATGTGAAGAAATTCAGAAGTAGAAGTTCTAGATTTTTATGTTCCACTTTGCATTAATTTACCTAACTTCAACCCAAACGTATAACCTACGTTTGATTAATAATACAAATTACAGTACCAGAAATTTTTCTTTATTTTTATAATAACAGTAATAGTTGGCCAATATAGTCCCACTGATGGACATAGTTTTTCTGTCACAATCTGAGGTTCTGAGCTGTAGGTTGTCATGCGGGTTCAATGCGAACTGGGAAATTCACAACCGTCAGTGTTGCTAGAACATTGAAAATAAGCCAATTCAAAGAAAATATTTATATTTTAGACCGGCAAAATGATAGTGACAGAGTGAAGATATTTGTGTTTTCCATCCGTTACTCTCATCTCTGGACTGTATTCGCACTTTCCATCGGGCGCGGTGCAGTCATTTTGCCGAGTCACAATAAAAAAAAATAAAAAATACCTAACCTGTTCACGATGTGTTCCAAATTGAGTACTAAATATCGTTACTACAGTCTTTGCAAGGAAGCAGAAGGTGGTATTATCCAAATAATACACTCATAATAAGCTGTAACAAAAGAATAACTCTCCTTAATTGGTACATCAAGAAAAGCAATTTGAATTTGAGCATGTAAACGATTATTAGTGTAGGAAATTAATAAATAATAACCGAAATGAAATAGAATAACCGTCAAAACACGTCGTTCTAACAACGCCTCTAAAAACTGAACAACGTAAGCATAAAAGTACACACGGCACAAAAAATAAGATAACATGTGATTGGCGATACACACATAGATAGATAAATATACGGTGCGCAATTTAACATTATAATATAATAAAATGAAATATACTAGATACAACTTTATAACTGCTGTTAATTTTACTGCATGGTTAAAAACAATTACAAGCTAGCGTCAAATTTTTACATTCAACTATCCGACTTTTCGATCGGAACACAGATCAAAATATATGTTTTCAATTATTATTTAGTTTTATCCCCACTAATTACCCTCCCATTAGATTTGACGTACTACTTTTTATTGCGTCTTTAATAAACATGATAATAAATTGTCAGTGTGCCAATGATTATTTACGTTAAAACAGAATGTAGAACATTTTAAGGTTACGTGCTTGTGTACACTTATCTATTTTTTCCATTATACATTTTAAAAAAATGATGACCCAAATAATACCGGCAGATGTTAATGATTCTATTATTTATGATCGAGCCTCTTCTATTTTACCTTTTTTTTTTTTACTTTTTTTATAGTGCTTACCTAATGCCGTTTCTAAACGAAAGGTTATTCAGCCGTGTCATTTTGCGTTTTGTGGATAACAATGTACAGTCAAGAGCACGTCAAGCTTGACACTTTGTACTTTGGACCGTTCTTATCGTAAGCGGCATAGAGTTGGATTTAAGTCTTAAGTGTCAAGCTTGACGTGCTCTTGAGCCTGTACAAAAATAGCATTAATTTTATTGTTACTCCAATAGTTTCTTTTTTATTTGATTTTTTGAGGAGCCATTTTCAATTAATAAAAATTTCATTATGCTATGCGCAATTCCGTTACAATCAATCGCTTCTATTCTTTTTTTTATAATACCTATTGAGGGAACTAACAAGTAGTGCGCCGGGTGCCACTCAGTGCTTTGAATCACAAAGTTTTGCGGAGCATTGCCACTACGCCCGTCATCCTGAGACATAAATTGACAAGTCCCATGTGCCTGTGATTTCACCAGAACCCTTACCCTTCAAAACCGGAACGCAATAATGCTCACATTACTGCCTGGCGGCAGAAATAGGTAAGCCGGCAGTACTTCCTTGGACGAACTCTTTCACAAGGAGCTCTACTGCTACTACCTATTCTACTGCAACTATGTTTCTATGTCAATCTGTTTACTAGTTAATGTAATTTTTATTATGTAATTTCATTCGAATTTGAATTATTTTTGTCCTCGAAATTCATATGTATTTGTAGAAGAATTAATGACGAAATTTCAACGTGCATACTATCAGTATTTGTGGCAGTCTTAACAATTTTAATGGCTATATTTCAACATTTATTACGAGTGCTATACACCAATAACAAGGCAGTCCTTGTACTTTAATTAATGGGTAAATAATAATTCATTTACGCAATAGGGGTTCCCGCTTAAATAGTCGTATAAGAACTACATAAGAAATCGTGTAAAGCATATTATCACATTTTCGTTTTTTTTAAATGTGGCCTCGACAGATGTAATTTGCTAATTGCAAAGGCGTTGGTGTGATTCAATATTAAACATTTTTTCATTTCAGCTTCATTTCATAAAGTCGTATGGAGGTACTATTCGATAGGTACCTATATCGACCCATGATATATAGCAAGTTATGTGCTTTAATTACATATACAAAGTTGCTTACAAAGCATTATTTTATCACACGGTCTTGAAGATAAATACCATTAATTTTTATTGAGTCTTGTTTACTCTACAATGCTAAATAAGTTAAACAGTGACATTAAACTGCGAAAACGCTTCCTTCTCAATCACATTGTTAATAATTAAGCTTAAGTATTAAAAGTTTAGAAGCAGTACAGCTCCTTGTGAAAGAGTCCAGAGAAGTACTGCCATCTTACCATTTTCTGTCACCAAGCAGTAATGTGAGCGTTAATGAGTTCCGATTTTGAAGGGTATAAAAAATAAGGGTGCTGATAAAATTACATGCATATGGGACTAGTTAACTTATGTCTCAGGATGACGGGGGCAGAGGCAGTGCCTCCCGGATCTTTGTGATTTAAAGCAGTGGCACTGCAACTGCTATGGACAGGCGTGTCGCTTACTACCAAATGCACGACTTGTTCGTCCCGTCAAATGGTATAATACATAAAAATGTAAACCTTTTAATATCATCCACAAATAATACCTAGATTAATTAATTTTCAATCTAATTGTCGCTTAGCCTTTCACCTTTTAATCGTCAAATCCTAGTAAAATGCAAAACAAAAAACAATTATATGGACGTCGGGTCCGCGCTAAAAAGTGTCCGAACTTATAGGGCGTTAAAATCGTATACAGAGCGTCATTCACGCTTTAGTCTTCGTTTGTTCGACTGACAGCGAAGCAAGCAAAATTAGACAATACTGCGATGACATTACAATTTAAATTGAAAGTTTTAGCTTTTTCATATTCCTTTACATGTCACTACGTTTAAATAGGTCGACTTGGGACATTTTTTTCGTGGTTTTTGTATTAGACCCGTCGTCCATTTATTTGTAAGTCAATGGTAAAATGACATGGAGTGCAGTCAGATCTGAAATATTGTAGTTACAAGCCAGGTGTTTTCCCATATGGGTCATCACTGTTATGTTATTGAATTAATTATTGAAATATCGTTAATAACACATTGTGGTTAAAGGCCACCTCAACTAGAATTATACCAATAGACACCTTAAGCGTCTAGGAGTTATATAAAAACTAATAAGCAATTAATATAACTCATTTGTAGCGTAATTACACCACTGTCGTATTTTGCTTCAAATGGACTTACATGTGTAAACACGTTCCTTAGTGTTGTAAAAGACTCGAGTCCTCTAGTCATATTTTTTTCTGTACATTGCACTCTGTAATTTAGCGCTCAATTATAATATTAAAATGGCACTATTTATTTATAATTTATAAAAAAAATGTGAATTGCTTAATCTAAACCAAACATTTTATAAAATTTGAAATTATTGGGTTCTTGAATTTACTCGACTTCAGTTATTTGCCTGGAATTATAGGGTCTGTAAAACGAGTTTAATGTTAAGTACTGGTTATTTATGTAGAAATTATAAATTGTATCCATCCTCCCTGCGTAAAAATTGTTAGCCGAAACCTAACCTAAGCTAACTTTACAAAGAACGTTTTGGTATATTAAATCGAGTAATATGAGCTTAATACCTGCGAGCTTATAGAGAACTGAAATGACTGGCTGATTAAGGCTGAAATTAATACAAATTTTTATTTATTCTTGACCCGTGATCCCTACCAAGCTAGCAAGTGTGATAGGTTATGGTTTAAGAAATTTATTCAAAAATGGAACTCCAATTCAAGTCTTATTCGGCTACCGATATAATTAGTCCGTAGATTGATAATGAATATGAATGAGTTTGCTTTCAAAGTCCTAATATTTGCAAAAGTCTCGTGTCCTTTAACTCTATAATACGCAGCTAAATACCAACATCTTGTCTACACTATGGATATTGATAATCTAGTTTTACGATATGATTAACGGCTAATACCTGTTATGGGATAGTGATATATTGGTATTTATTCTCTTATTAAGTTGTTACTAAGCGTGTCGCGCGGTTTCACTTACGAGCTGTATCATAAACGTAAATTATAAGTTTTAGTAGTTTAGTTAGAGCTTAATAATATTGGATTCGCTGGAAGAAGAATCTTTCCCACAGTGTTAGTAACAATTTCTCTTAGTGCTTATTTCTAGTAGCAGTAGAGCTTCTTGTGAAAGAGTTCGTTCAAGGTCATACTGCCACCTTACCTGTTTCTGCCGCCAAGCAATAATGTTAACATTACTGCTTTACTGGTTTAGAAGGGTAAGGGTGCTGGTGAAATTACAGGTATATGAAACTTATCAACCTATGCGACATAGGTTGGTAGATAGGGTGAGGGTACAGTGACAGTGCCCCTTAAATCATTGTGTTTTGAAGCTCCGAGTGGCACTACAACTGTTATGGATAGACGCGTTGCTTACCATCAGGCGCACGACTTGTTCGTCCCGTCACTTAATATTATTTTAAAAAATTGTTCTTTTTTATGATACTAAGTGGCTGGATTCATTATCTTCCATCAATTACCTTTGTTTTGTGGCGGATGTCAACATTC